CAACTGGTGTTTCATCGACTTCAAATCTTTCAGCTAAAAATGGTTCTTGGATTACATCAACGGTTGCAACATTCACTTTGTTCTTTAAACTGCAGGCAAAAATAAAAATACGTTAAGCGGGTGATAGCTAACCGCAAAATTGCCGTGTCCATGGAAACAATTGCCATGAAAAAAATACTTTAAAATAAACAGACAAACAAAAACTCTCGGAAGGAACTGGTGGTGAAATGGTGGTTAAATCTGATATCTGGGAAATGTCATTTAATTTGGGGGTATTTTGTATTGTGTGTTATGTGTCAAAATTGCAATAAGAAAACTACACAAAACACTGACAACAAATGAGTGAACATACAACATTGTACATGCAATAAAATGAAAGGAAACGTATTGTACAAAGTGGAAATGTACGTAATAATGTGAATTAAACTTTCACATTAAGAAACTTTAGATTTTGGAAGATCGAAGGAGGAAAGTCAGCACCACTTACGAATAATTTAATACATGTTTCCATGCATAAATTTTAATAATCAATGACTTTTTAATTGTCTCGAACAGAAGTACAATAATTCCTATGTGCATACTGCATATTATTACTAGTATACAGCTTTTTTCTTCTTGTAGTAATAATTTAATGAGGGATTATAGCTCAAAATGGCAACCAAAAATGTTTTGCACTGTGAGATGATTGCGTTCAGGAACATGATTCTATTTTGGTCGCATATTGTAGTGCTTCTGTGTCCAAAGTAAACAAGTGTTCAAATGTGATGTCATTAACCTTGAATGTTCTATTGTTTGTTGCATATTATGTTAAGCAGAATTTGATTACTAATAGTATTACAATGGAAAACAAATAAACAATTATTCCATAATTCCATGGTGCAATCCCAGTGATTGAGAAGCAGCACTTGAACTTGGAAGAAAAGGCACATTTTTTCCTTTTATTTTAAATTACCAAATAAGTAGCTAAGGCTGTGTGGGTGAAAGGCGACATTAAGAGACAATGTAACTTGTATACTGGTACAAATACCAGTAATACTTATAATGTATTTATAGCAATCAAACAATTAGTTCACAGAAAGGTTAGACATGGACAGTAATCTTAATGACATGTAGAACACAGCATGCTGCCATGTGAAGAACATCTAATAATAAATCCATTTGATGACATCACTGTGCTAACAACATAATATGTTGTTACAAGGTAGCAAACACACTATATCCTTTATTTAAACAACATGATTGAGTAAAGTATAAATTGTGCAAAAAAAAATTATTAATTTAGGCACAGTATTCACATCCAAGAGGTGTGTACCTATGTTGAAATAGGCATATTGCGAGTGGTTAGTTCGAGTAATAATCAGAAATAGAACTAGATCTAGGAGTAAAACGGCACTAGATCCAGGGCCACTCACACTGTGTACATTTTAGCACTAGATCTAAGTACTATTTTACACCTAGATACATGTATAACACTATTTCGGTGAAGTGCTACTCGTAGTATGCCCATGTCAACACATACACGTGTACATGTATTCAACCGGCCTAGTACCTATATTTCTGTCAAGTTGGAAGATTTCTGAAATAATGATATTTTGTATGTAGGTGCAAATTGGAGGAACGTGTGAGAAATTAAATCTAGTTTTCATCATTTCACATGTATCTACAAGACTACTTTATTTTGATGAATCAATGTATGCAAAGTGCTGCCATCTTTAAAACTCCCATGATGCATCATACCAAGTAGATGTAACTGGCAGAGAGCCGTTTTTCAAAAACAAATGAAATATGAGCCAGTACAGCATCTAGGCCGCTTTATTGTAATTTTCCTACTGTATAATGTAACGTTGCATTTGTTGATTATGTTACCAATCATTTTTTTAAATAGAAAACGTTCTAAGTATGTGTCTGCTGAATAAAGAGTGACAGTTATTCATAGTTTTAGGTATTTTGAAATTACGATATAAAAGGTCAAACTAAACTGAATGCTATCACAATAACAAATATTCTGTTTTTGAGAATAAATAGATTATACATTATTATTTTTATTAAACACAGAGATATATACATACAACAGCTGTGTTAGTATTACATGTACATGCATTATGTCTGTTTCATTCATTCGCATAAATCACTAACAAAGGTTTACAAGCCAATGTTACTTGTGTGATTGCATCACTGTAATAACAACTCTGGTGTTTTTCAGATTATTTTTACCCAAATACTGGTAATAATTCTTTTTAAACCAAAACTCTGTCTGAACTCAAAAAAAGGGACGAGCACACACTTTTTAGGCAAGGCAGATAGAAAGAAAAAACTTGTTGTCCAACATTGCTCGATAAAAACAATTCAAATTGTGCATTGTCTCTTTGGGTAATAAAAAGTTGGTAAACACCATCAACTTTAGAAAATTGTCAAAAATAGAACCTTGCAATGATAGCTATAAAACTGTTTGACCTGCTACTTAATAACACTAGAATGATGGTTCTGAACTCTTCTATAAATGACAAGATAGACACTGACATTTAATATAATATTCCTGAGAAATAATTCCACAACGAAAATAGAGTACCGTAAAATCTGTATTAGAAGCCGCATCCCTAATAGAAGTCGCACCCATTCTTTTGGGCTAATCTGCACTGGCTCGGAAGGTTGTAAATGATTAGCTAGTTTGAATTTGCATAACAATACTGACAATGAACGTGCATTCAACGCCACATGTTTTTTTGTTTTTTTAGCCAATCAGAATTCATCTTCCGAGCCAGTGCAGATCAGCCGATTCTTTTTGAATAATTGAGAATCTAAAATTCACCATTTCTCATATGTGTAGATGCTCTAATAGAAGCCGCATTCCCTCTGTTGCATTGTACCATTTTAATAGAAGCCGCGGCTTCTAATACAGATTTTACAGTATTAAAATTAACCCTTTGAGCACCATCAATTTTCCAACATTGTATTTCCAATAATATATTTTATCATTTTGTACCAAATTGACATAATTTTCAATTAGTACAGGGTCTAGATCAATATTTTAAAAAAAAATCTTGAAAATATAACATTTTATTTTGTGACTGGTAACGAATATTGACTTTGGCCACTCTAAATGCTAAGATGTACCATGTTTTCATTATTACATTTTTTCATTACTGTCTGCCTAATAAACAGTCACTCCAAAAATGCAATATTAATTTCAGTATTATTAATATGAATATTAATACATTTAGCAGTATTAATATTAATGATGTGAATATTCAGAGAATTAATACATGTAGTTTATTTAAAGGTATATTAAAGGTCTTCACTAAATGTCAGGAAATTGCAGTCACTGCTATTTTTAAGAGAAATCAACATTTTGTTAGATTGTTTGTTGTTTACTTACACTTCCGCAGCTGCTTCTAATGTTGGAATTAACATCAAACTTTCTTCCTGATTGTGATCAAGACTAAAGAAAAAAGAAAAAAATGAGAACATTTCATAATTTGACAATTTATGGGCATACAAAAGTTGCTTCCTGACTAAAGTTGAACTATGAAGGATTCATAAAGATATATTGTAGTCATGTGACTTATGTGCAAACATCAATGGGTAGATGAGATTTTAATATTCAAACTAAATTTATTTTTCAAAGATTTTTAGTGGGTTTGAATGTTGCTGATCGTTTTAGCTTTCTGTTTGATAGTTTGTTCAAATTTCATTTGCTATCACCTTTAAATATTGTTCTGACTTGCATTAGTTGGTTTTCATCCTCTAACTGTACTAAAAGTAAAGAGCTAAGTAAATCATGCAATGTATTGTTTCCTTCACAAAGCAATGCATTTAAAACCTAATCAATATTCCTGCAACATCAAATCTGCTAAATTTAAACTAAATTTTCCTATCTATAGTGTATATGCTGAAGTCAAGGCACCGTGTTTTCTCTATTAGAAGCGCATCTCCACTAGAAGCAGATATAAACTAGAAATAACATTCATTGTATGCTAGATCTAATCATCATCATTGAAATGTGTTTTATATTGTCCACAGACACACTGCTGTCATTAAGGTGCATGCACTACTAATAGAGCAAATACGGTATATTGTATTTTATTATTGAATCATACTTACAAAAGGACAAGCCAGTCTCCTGTAGTAGCACCAGTAGCAGCCTGGGTAAGATGTTCAAATGAATCATCAGTCAGACTTTTAGTGAAAGCAGATTGGCTGTTTTGTACAAAGTTCACAATATGGTCTGCTTTCATCTCATCTGAATAAAAACAAAATATGATTTGATTAGTTTTGTCATTATCATTGAGACCAGAATATTTTTGTTATTTTGAAAAAACAAATAAACTAACAGTTTTAAACCATTGAAAAACAAAGACAAGTTGATTGCTGTGGTAGCAGGGGTGGGACGGGACAGGTAAACAGGGCCATTTGACGCACACGCAGGTGACGACTCCCTCGCTTTAAGTTTAATATGCTTATGATGTGCATGTGCGGGCGCTGTTTATATTTCTCTACTTCAAGTGAATACACAGAACCATGGTTAATATTGTTAGTAAACCATCAACTTTATCTCAATAATCCAGTTATGGGAATATTAAAGTAGAATTCATTCACAGAAAAGACTAAATAAATCAGAATAAAAATAAACCTCAAAGCAACATTAAAACTAGGGTTTAGGTAGCATCAATATAAGAACAGTAATTATTTGAAAAAAAAAAAAACATTTATATCCTCCCTCTTGCTGCATGTCTGTACAAAGGCACCACCATCTTGGTGATTCATAACTGTATCCAGAATTATAGCCAGATAACTGAAAGCTGTCTGTCTAAAAACTTGATCAAAATAAAAAATACTGATAGCAATTTCTAGGCTGTAGGCATATATTTGTACATGTACTCTATTTTTTACCTTGCCCATACCATCAAAGATGGAAGGGAAAGGTATATTAAGGGAAAAATTTTGTCCGGCGTTGTCGTCGTCGTTGTTGTTGTTGTCGTCGTCGTTAATAATTGTTATTGTGTGCATAATAACTTTACTAATTCTATTCCAAACTTTATCAAACTTGGTCACCTTATTCATCAGTATAAAGTCTTCCCTGAGTTTGAACAACAGATGTCCTGTATGAAAATATCATGCAAAAATAGAGAAAATCTGATAAAATATTTTGACCGTTTCTACTTGACTGATCACTGGTGATACGCATCAAAGGTCACTGATCTCAGTGGAAATATGCATTGTTGTATGTGTTCAATGAAGCAAATGATTTATCTTGTAATAATATCCTTGGTAATGTATCTCAGAATCCCATACTGGGTTTCAAAACCAACTCATGGAGAGATTGCACAGTCTGATACACATTTGCAAACCTACCAATAAAATCTTTACAGAAAAC